ACCTGAAAATATTACGCAAACTCAATTTTGCCAAATATGCTCTGGTCCGAAATGGCAGTCATCGAAAAATCGGCCCTGTCGTGAATGTGTTAACATCTTTCACACAATATTGAACTTGAAACTCCTCAGCATTTAATGGCGAGTTTTGAAATCACAGTTTTTGGTGAAAATTTACTTATCCATCCGGTAGACGTATCACTGAAAAATGCGCATATCAATGCTGACTCCATTTCTGTCCTTCGTATCCTTAAAAGATAATTCCAATAGTTATAAGGATTTTTTTTAATGGATGTCCTCGCCAAGTTCTCCTGGACCTTTGCCAAAATCTTCTCCACAGTGCTCGCGCTCCTAATTATCTCCTACGGCTACAGGCGGCAGGCCTTTGGTCTCTTCTGCACCGCATCCATCTAAAAGAACAGGATCTCAGAGATGTGACTTAGGTAATTGCGCTTACACTCAAATGCCTCTATGCGCACTCGTTACCATGAGCTTTCATACCGTATACGAACAAAAAAAGAATTTTTGTAACAAACGTGAAAATTGCTCATTCTATGGATATTATTACCGCATCAAAGCGCCCTATTCATGCTTTAGATGAAAATCTACACATGTCTAAGGGGCAATTGCATCTGGATGTGTTCTCTTGCACTGAAAATATCTTCCTGATGACAGGTCCCCTGCCCCTCTCATGCATTCTCAAGTCTCAAAAGTAGTTCTTCTTCACGCCCCAGGTGAAAGGTATAGGGCTTATCAAATTGAGTGTCGTTTGCACCAGCATCTCCATCTTCGCGCTGGGCTCTGCGTCTCTTCTGCGGTACATGCTCCCTGATCACTTCCAATCGATTGATGCTCCGCCTTTCCCACGCTCGCCCTGGGAAAGTGCTCAGAGAGCAGCCCTGCGGAAGAGACGCAGAGTCCAGCGCGAAGATGGAGATGCCGGTGCAAACGACACTCAATTTGATAAGCCCTATATGTCCAGATTCCGTCGCCCTTAAGGAGAAGGGAGGATAGGAAGTTCCCAGTTGCACCTATGGGTATATGGTATCCAGAATCGGCTCTGAGAATTTAAGTGTTAGCCTGATTATATAGTAGAATTTCTCTAGTAAAATGAAGCATTCAAACTCTAAGCTCGCCAAAAAATTCGGAAATTCAAAGTCCCTGTACCACAGTTTTCATTCTCAGACATAGCCGACCCTCATCAATCAAACTCACTACAACGCCAATAAATTATTCACGCTTTGGTTCCTCGACCCATCTTTGAAATCGCTGATATGCATTCATGTAGATGTAAGAAGAAGCGAACTGTGCCATCAAAGTAGAACAACAATCTCCACAAAGAAAGAGGCATTAGATCTTCATATGGAAAAGAGGAGAAAAGAACAGTGCTAGGGTCAATCGCTGCGGAAGGTCAGGGTTAAGAAACGAGACCAACATTTAAGTCGATGCATTACAAGCAGCTTCAGATGAAACGGGTTATGAGGACCTAGTGCGATGCTATAGTAAGGCCCTAAGGTCCTTAAGTGAGTGACTGTTCAGTTTCACCAGATAATCACTTCCAAATCGCTAAAATCGCTTTCAAACTCTGCTCATCTCTTTGCTTGATCTAACGCCGAGTCCTAAACAACTAAAAATGTCAAAAATTTTGTATGATAAAATACGGATATTCTCTATTCACGACCCCGAACAGCATTTATTGCTGGCCATCCTCGAATACGATGGTGAAGGAAATATCAATGCCGTATTTTCCTTCTAAAGCGATTTTTTTACTATGCAAGAAATCATTCGCTACGAGAAATAGAGAACCTAGTAGTGCGCTCCTAGGGCCAGCCCCGACATGGGTTTTCGCCCAGCCGGCCATGAGCGTGCGGGTGGCCGCAAAAGTATCTGAGCGCTATGGAAATCTAATCGCGCGTCTATCATCGAACATCAACGCGCAAGGCGGCTGGAAACCTTGCGTCACTAGGTGCTCTAGGCTTGACATAGGCCAAAGTGAGCATGCACCTACTTAAGACGTATTTCTATAAACTTTTAAAGTCACTTTCGGCCAAAACATAGTCAGCAATGATAAAAAGATTTAATTTGGAGGGAAAATTTACGGAAAACATCTTGTACGAGAGTGACTCCTTACAGTCCCTCGCGATATCGTTCATGCTGGTGTTCAAGGCACGCGGGCAATTTTGTTCTACTAGCTTGTAGATTCTTCGCCAATCTTCCCCTTGGATATCGGGTGAGGGAACTTATCTACCCAAAGCACTTGCCACAACGTAGTTATAGAAGTCATGAGCTGCCAGCAACGCTAGTTAGCACCTGATCAGCACCGTCGTTCATCCAGGAGCACATGAAACCGAATTTCAATGAAATTTCGAATTAAAAGTTCAGTAGCGATTGGAGTGAAAACTAGTATTCAGGGGTTCCAAAGCACGCTGCTTCAGAATATGCTAGTGGTTTTGCTCAATACTTCCAAGTTCAGTCCCTTTTTAAAAATTAAAGTTTTTACAATTTCACTATAAATCTAAAAAGCCGGCGTGACGAAAACCCTTGAGTATCAGCTTTCCAAATTTATAGTGAAGTCGTAAGAAACTTTGTTTTGCAGAAAGGCATAAATTTGAAAGAATAGAGCAAAGCCACTAGCATATTCGGGAACAGCGTGCTTGAAAACCCCTAAACTCAAGTTTTTACTTCAATCGGACTTACATCGCTAGTGAACTTTAAATTCGAAATTTCATTGAATTTCAGTTTCATGTGTTCCAGGATGAGGATGAGGATGCTGTCTGCACAGACTGGCTCTCATACAGTGATGATTAGGTGCTAATTAGCGTTGCTGACAACTCATGACCTCTGTAACTACGCTGCGGCATGTGCTTTGGGTAGATAAGTTCCGTTCTCCTTCGATATCCCCCGTATCTTTCAGCACGCCACTGGAGTGCTGACATTTCCTAACTTTATAAAGTGGGTCAATTATCGATCTCCTGCCACTAATTGATAACGGTTTTTTTTGGTGCCTTTTATTTCTCACCTCAGAGTTGTTATCGTCGATTCGTTGACCGCAACTCGACATCAATGCGGGGCATGCGCCGCGAAGCAAAACGCCTGCCCAGTACAATTCGTAACATTTCAGCTGCGTCGCGCGTGCTCCGCAACGTTTGAGCGTCCATGCAGTCAGCGAATCAACGATACATTTCAGAATAGTGCAAGGACAGCCAAGCCTTCACTTCAAAATAATTGTGCGCGCTCATTTAATGAACTTTAGTGCCATAAAGCTGATTTCTAAGATGTAGAAGGATGTCGCAACGGCAGTCTTCCCAATTTCTTAAAGTTAGAACAGAGCACACGAACAACGGAGCCGTTCACTAGATATTGTTGAAGTAGAAGTGCAATTCAGACGCAAGGTAAGAAAGTCCATGAAAACCCAATCAAATCACAGTTGCTCGTATGCTTCGTATTCTCATCGCAATCCCAAAGTAATAAAAAGAGTTGAGAAATTCTTTTACATCATGATAGCGATGCTCCAAGCGCTTCATGTGCAAGGGAACGGCCATAGGTTGTCGGTGTTGTCGATGTTGTCGGTGTTGTCGGGGTCAGAGACAGTTTAGAGAGCGCGCGAAACGTGGAGGCTATCATGAGGTCCTACAACGACCGGCAACCTCGGCAACCCCGACAACATCGACAACACCGACAACCTATGGCCGTTCCCCAAGGGAACAGCCATAGGTTGTCGGTGTTGTCGGTGTTGTCGATGTTGTCGATGTTGTCGGTGTTATCGATGTTGTCGGTGTTGTCGGTGTTGTCGGGGTTGCCGGTCGTTGTAGGACCGTGATAGCCTCCACGTTTCGCGCGCTCTCTAAACTGTCTCTGACCCCGAACCCCGACAACACCGACAACACCGACAACATCGACAACACCGACAACATCGGCAACACCGACAACACCGACAACCTATGGCCGTTCCCCAAAGAAAACGCAACTGTAGACGGCCATGGACGCGCTCCAACCGAGATTTGTGCTCGCCTGCAGCTATATACTTGAGATATCACCACTTTTACCAACCGGTGGACTAACAAGAATATCCTTAAATGGTCACGCTCCATCAACAAGAATTATCAGTTAAACTGAGACATCATCTTAGTTTCATGACAATTATGCCTACTTATAACACAGAAGCCTAAGAAAATATTCAATAAATCCCCGAAAATAGAGTTGAGCTATAACATGCTCTTTCAGATGTTGTCAGTTCCACAGATCTTGGAACTCTGACTGCATTAAGGATGTCAAAACTTTCAAATAAAATGAGAAATAATCACAAAACAAAACACACAAAGTCAACATAGACACCTTCTCACTGCCAGTTGGATATATAAGATGGTGAAACAACCAAGTACGATCAAATCAAGGTCAAATGCAAAAGAACATTAGTAGTAAGGTGCACATCATTGACATGTAAGCATTGCAAAAACAATCAAAACATCGCACTGGCCTACAGTCCGAAAGATGTGTTGTTCTGTGTGCGATATCGCTGATGCATTTGAATCGACGCGCAGCCATCAGCGTTCGAATCATCGTGAAGGGATCGGCCATACTATTCCTGCTATTCCTACGACTCCTGCGATTCCTGCGATTCCTGGGAGTCCCGCACAGTTTAGACGCCGCTTAAATGAGCGCGTGTTGCGTAAAACAACAGGTAACACGCAACACGCGCTCATTCAAGCGGCGTCTAAACTGTGCGGGACTCACAGGAATCGCAGGAATCGTAGGAGTCGTAGGAATAGCAGGAGTAGTATGGCCGATCCCGAACGCTCGATGAATTGATGGTGCCGGGCAAGAGGTCGTCTATATTGCAGCTGTTTTCGGATCGCTCCAGCAATTTAGGCGTTGCAGGATGCGAATATTATGAGCTTATCTGCCACAGAAATATTTTCAAAATTGTTCTCATTTTTTGTCTGTTTCCATTCCTCCGTGCCAGATTGGTTCCAGACTATCTCTGTTCTGCTCTCTATGTATTGTTTAGGGATGCCTTCATCAGATGAAGCGCTCACTACTTTTGACCCAACACAATTAATATTGACAGTCTGCTCACTAATATCATTGGTACTAACCGTTGCATCGTGTCTGTGTTGCAGGAAGATTAAACTCAGGTGAGATTCTTACTATTATCTAAGATTTCAAGCTTCGATGCTTCGCTTTTGATTTTGCCGAGTTTGATAATAATACTTCCTGTGTGAATCCATGCACTATCATCATTATTTGTTATCATCCGATGCGCTTCTTAAAGATTGACACTGTGTGATTTTGAGTTTTTCGATCATTTGAATAGTTATCTCAGAGACCATGGGGATGCTCAAGACGTTAATAATGCTAGCACTTCTGCAGCTGTGTACAGTGATGGGACGATTCCCTACCGTGTTGAATGTCGTCCCACTCTTCGTGTAGAAAAAGTCACAGAACGTCGCTCTCAACCCAATATGGAGGTAAGTGGTTGCTGTAAATGTGGATACACCGTGCTCTTTTCGGCATTAGCGAGTTTAGTATTAGCCATTTGACCAAGTTTTCTTCTCCCGATAATGGCAAGATAGCCAATATAGTTGGACCAGAATATTCGTGTTCGAATAATTTATTCGAAATTTTCGACTATTCGAATACTCGAGTAGTCGAGTATTCAGAAGAGTCCAATTATTCAATTTTTCAATGGAAAAGGCCTTTATTCGAATAGTCTGTCCATTCGACGACTCGGAAAAATGACCTATTCGAATATTGAAGGGATTTCAAAAGACAGTTGTTCGAATATTCGAGCTTTCGGAAAGCAGTTGTTCGAATATTCGAATGTTCGAATGTTGCAATCAAATCGAATATTGCATTCCAATATTCAATGATATTTATTTATTCGTTTATTCAAATAGTCGAATATTCGATCAAGTTCGGTTATCGAATTTTGAAATGTGCCCATATTCAAATATTTGAACTCGAATAATATGGAAATCAGAAATTGAGTAATACTCGTTCATTCATTTATTCAAAATTCATTCATTCGAAAATTTTCAAATTGTAATTATTCGATATTTATTCATTCGATAAAAATTTCCAATGTTGAATTTTGAACGATTTATGTCCAACCCTCAGCTTGTCGAGTTTGCAGTGCGATCGCATGGCATCGGATGGAGCTTTGATTAGGAATTCAGTCCCGTTGCAGACAGGCCGTGCACTCCCTAAATTACCTTTGGATATGTATTCTGGTACAGTGGAAAAATCCAATTTGCTTGTATAACTTCTTATATTTGTTTAGTCATTTGTAAAACCAGAAAGGCTAATGTTGGGTTCGTCGATGAAGATGGAAATCCAACTTATGAATCCATTGATCCCGAGAATGACTCTTTGATTGATCCTCTGTACTCGAAGGTAGACAAATTTTCTCCAAACAAATAAATTAATTTTCATAGCAATACAGTTAGGTGAGGTCTCCTCTAGCCGTCCGGAGAGGAAATATGATTATCCGGTTTTCTCTGGCAGGAAAACTGCTGCTCTTGCAGTACCGGACGATGGTTTTGTTTACCAAAATGCGTCACAGATCTACACCATTTGTGGAAGTGAAGACCCTTATAGGTATCAAGAATATGCTGAAAACACGTGCATTGAACTGGTTTTTTAATTTGGGATTAATTTCAGCTCAATAACTTCGGAACCGCCTCGTTCCAATGGAGCAGCTGACCAAGAAGGCTGTAGCAGCAGCAACTACAATGCAAGATATGCTAAAGATGGCCAGGAGGATCTAAATGCTGCTTGGCGAAGAGAACGTCTAGAAAGAACAGAGATGGAAGTCGACCAACTTTATTCCAAAGTAAGGATATCGTAGTACTCTTCATTTGCTTTGATTTTCTGCATGCTTATTCATTTTTCCAAAACATGTTGCGTTTCACCTGTTTAGATCCGTCGTTCTTCTCTGCTCAATAGCGACGATACTGCATCTGTCGCGGAACCTTCACAAGTGGCTGTAGAAGATAAGATGGGAGATATCGCTGTTCCCGCTGTCTCACCGCACTCCATAAAGGTTCAGTAAATTAGATTGATTACGTAAGCTAGCTGTGCTTGAATTACTCAGCATGTTGTAAGCTCGTCGAAGGATTTACTGGCAAAGGAACGATTTTCGGTGTCCGTGTACTTTTGAGATGAGATGTATATCATATTACACTCGTCTTGGAGCGCTGATTCCGAATTTGACTTCCGTTTCTGCTACCTTTTTCTTTGAAAGAAGTTATGAAGGATTATCGCGCCGAGTTTAGCCGCCCAAATGAAATACGATCGGAATGCCATGTTGCTGGTACGCGGTGTTGTAGTGGTTAGTGTGATAACCCCGCAAGCTGATGCAAGTGTAGGTTCTCCTTTTGTTTTCCGGTTCTGCATTGCCTCAATTAAGCTTCTTTGAAAGTCAGGCATCCTCGAGATGATTGCATGCACTTACTATTCAAAAAATGTGGATTAGGAAAATTTGATTACTATTTGCGCTAAAATGTTTCCACTGTCACTGTGTTCAACATGCGTTCTTTTTTCATTCCTTTTCCTTTCTATAAGCACATTTCAAATAAATACTGGAAAAACTCATATAAAAATGACTCCTCGTTGAATTTTTAGACAGTAAGGGCATGTAGTTACCTCGAGGATGCCTAACTTTTAGAAAGAAGCTCAGTTGACGCAGTGCAAAACTGAAAAACACGGAAGGATTTGAACTTACACCTGCTCAATTTGTGCGGCTGTTGTACAAATCACTACACCACAGCGTACTGGCGGCATTGGCGTTCCGATCGTTTTTCCCTTGGGCGGCCAAACCCTGGCTCGAAAATCATAATTCCTTTCAGAGAAACGGTTAGCAAAATGGAAGTTAGATCCGGAATCAGCGTAGGACGAGTGTAATGGTACACATCTCATCTCAAAAGGCCACGGACACCGAGTATCGTTCCCTTTTAAGCTGCGATTTGTGCCGTGCCAATTGCAGAACGTTGATGCGGAGTCGTTATCGAGTCGTGAGCCATCCTACAGATACATTACCGTTCGAGAAAATGCAGATTTGGTTCGCGAGAGGTTGCGACTTCAAGGGCAACTTGCGCCTCCAGTTAGGGAACATTACTACTCAGTGATCGGCAACGAGTATGAAACTGTATGTTCACCGACAAATTGTACTGCAGCCATGTTGATTGTTCTTCTTTTTCACGAGAATATGTTTAGGTCGGCGATGTACCGAGCACAAGCACATATAGTGCAGTTGATATACCTCCAGCACATGGTAACTTCTTACCTTTTGAGAAAGCAGTTGTCAAAAATTTCTTGATTAGACATGCTCAACGTGACGACGACATTTTCCGAGTTTGCACCTCCACCACCAACGTCTCCAATTCCTGATAGGACAGCATGTGAAGTTGATGTGCAGCAGCCATGTTCGAGCAGAACACACGATGCTGTGACACCTTTATACTCCGTGGTGTCTAAGCCAAGGATCGGCTCTACTGATAAGGGTGTGCTTAACAACAGTGGCGCTAACGGATTTCACCCTGTAGAGCGAGGTACATGAGTTTTTCCTTTCACTTGTGGTAGTTCCGTTTGTTGTTTGAAGGACCAACGAGCACGTCTAGATTGGAATCAGGCATGAATGCTTCTACATCATTTCCATCCGAGCACGAAGGTAGGATATCCATTTTTAGAAGTATTTCATCATGTCATCATCATAGATAGGATCCATCACTCTACTTCCATTTTGGTATGTCGGGTTCTAGATAGTCTACGGTAACGATCAAAATCGAGGAATGCTTTGTTCGACATTTCAAACGTTGAAGAAAGAACTATCAATTATTGCTTGATTATCTAACAAGGCGAGGATCCTCGGTCGAAGTAGGGTTTCCACACGTGATGCGTACCATTGTGCTGGTCTTGGGGGACTAATAGCAAATCTGTGTTCCTTAGCTGCTCATTGATCTTCTGCGAAAAGTTACGAGCGATGGTCTCCCCAGGATGACCACGGTCGCTTAAGTTAGAGGCCCACGAAATGTCAGTTGTGGAAGGATGGAAGGCGGATAACCTTGGAGACTATAAAGGAAGTGGTAAACGTTCGTAATATTTATGTTTAAACATTCTTGCATTGCTGCAAATTATTCAACGGGTGCCGGCTGTTTCTCTGCTTTTCCTCTAAAGGCCTTGGACAGAGTTCACGCGATTTGATCGTCGCGATTCAATCGCCGACGGTTTTCATTCGCTTTCATTCTACTTTCAAAAATTTCGAGCTGGAAAATTACCACAACCGAAATGCAAGAAGATCGGCAAGCAATGATACTGTTACAGTTGTCTTGTAGCGACTGAATCGCGACGACCAAATCGCGTGAAATCTGTCCGAGTCTTAAGGATACATATCAAACAATACAATCTACAAAATGGAAGAATGTTTGGAACATAAGTGTTCCAAACTTTTTACCACTTTATAGTCTCCACAGTTATCCACTCGGTCATCCCTCCACAACTGACATTTCTCGGCGCTGCTAACTCAAGCGATCCGTGGTCGTCCTAAGGAAACCATCGCTCGTAACTTTTCGCAGAAGATCATTGAGCAGCTAAGGAACACGGATTTGTTATTAGTGCCCCAAGACCAGCACAATGGTATGCATCACGTGTGGAAACTCCACTTCGACTGAGGGTCCTTCCCTTGTAAGATGTCTTCCCTACTTTTGATAGGTAGTACGCCGTGCCAAATTCTTCTGATACAACTCTGACGCTGCCTAGTGATTTATTTTGAAGATTTCTAGGTGCTTCGAGTTCGATCCGGGCCATGGCATTTCAAGAACGACTGGCATGACAGATCAGTTTTGGATTTTGAAATCGAGTTATCTGATCGAATGAGTAAGTTTCTGAAATGACTGTCGTTTGCATTTTGTTCCGCAAAGCGAACACGATGAGTTTACGTCTTACTAGCAAAATGCAACCGGAATGTCTTTATCGCAGAGCTGTAATGGTTAGTGACGTAGTCTTCCCGAAATCGGAGTTACTTCGAATTAGCTTGATGTCGGTGGTTCTTTGCATAGAATCTTCTACAGATTATCTATCATGCAAGCATTAGGTTACGCTTTGAAAATGTGGAGAAATGGTGAAATATCTCACTAAGTTTGGCACTGTTTTCATTTGCGCATGTAACCATTTTAGTACAGATTTGTCTTAGGTAGTGCGGCCATGACAGGGATTAATGGAATTGTTCCTCTTGTCAAATCCGACAATGCTTATTTTGGCCGGATAATATAGCATGTATCCAGGCCAGCTTCCCATTGACTCCGCGCCGGGAACGCGCCATCTTGTTTTCGTGCGATTTCGAAGTTTTGGCCTTTTTTCCTTTTTCTTCGTTCTTTCTTCTTGCACTCTCTATATCAGGCAAGAATGTTTGCGAGAATGGCCGGTAATTGCTGCACGCGTCGTCTTCCCTGTCAAACATGTTAAATGAGTCAAACCGAGGAAGATCGGTCTACCGGTCGCTGCAGCAGACCTTTTTTGGATCTTCCTTTCAGGTTAGCTCAGCCCCTGCTCGAGGACTTGTTGAGATAAGCCCCATGAACTCCGTGTTTGACCCAGTCTGGAGACTTTAACGTGTTCACTCCCGAGTACAGGTTGATGATACACAAGCTATCCTCCATTCTGTGGCTAGGAGACTCGAGATTACTATCTGAACAAGAACTTATTCCTCCTCGCCTTTATGTTGCAAGTATATTTAGATGAGAAAGAATACAAGTACGAATTCACTAAATACACGAGAAACTTGCTAAATACGAGATCAAGCTTGTTTAGAAGTGTGTGCAAGGCTATCTCGAGTCTTTTAGTCATGGAATAGATGATAGCAGACATTCCATCAGACAGAATTTTGCAGTTACTAGTTTTATGTTTTTTCTTTGAAACTGCTTGTTTTTGTTACTGCAATAATAGTGCAGGAGTTCAGCCAATTTGAAAGATAAATCTAGAAATCTACTGCAGCAACCGGTAGACCGGGCCTTCCCCGTTTGACTCCTCAAACATGTTGAATATTGAGGAAGACGACACTTTGCAGCCGTTTATCGGCCTTTCTCGCAGACCTTCTTGCCAGATAGAGAGAGTATAAGAGAAAAAACGAAGAAAGAAGAAGAGAAAGGCCGGAAACTTTGAGAACAAGTGGGCGCCTATAATGCAGCCCGACGAGAGCGGTCCGTGCGTGGCGCGGAGGTATATACCTATGGGAAGCTGGCAGGGGTTCACACTATACCCATAAGACAGTGGCGTACCGAGGGGGAGGGGCGGGCCCTCCTCCCCCCGAGAACGGGTCGCGAAATTCTTGAAAATTACTTACATGGGTTATAAAATTGTGCGAATGACTTGTCTGCACGATACAAGTATATGCTGGTGCATGACGAAAGCGCAATATCTTTGGGCGCAAACGCGGCTTGCCGCAAAGCGCATGAGGCGCTAGATTTACACGGTGAGGATACGTGCGCGCCGCGTTCGCGCCTGCTCAACTTATACTTCTTCTGCGCCTTCGTCATGCAATAGCCTTCAGCTCGCTGCGTCGCTGGGCCTCGCGGTGCGGTCGCCCTCCCGCATAATTTTCATAGGCATGGCGCAGCAAGTTGGAGGGTTCCTTTGGTCGCGAAATTCTTTGGCGTGTTTGGGATAAAGCTGAATGTCTGTTTGTACAGGGCTTATCAAACGCAGTGTCGCTTGCATTAGCATCTCCACTGTCGCGCTGGTCTCTGCTTCTTTTGCGCGAACATGTTCTTTGATCACTTTCCCCGGGCGAGCGTGGGAAAGGCTGAGCCTCAATCGATTAGAAGTGATCACAGAGCATGTTCGGAAGAAACGCAGAGTCCAGCGCGGAGTGGAGATTGCAAGCGACACTGCGTTTGATAAGCCCTGTATGTACTGAGCTCAACGCTGTTAACTTGGTGCATATCTCATTTCAAAGACGATGATCCAATTTTCCTTCCAATGTCGGAAGAATGTGCAAAGGAGTGCATCTGTTTTGCTCATCACTTGGATAGCTTGAGTAATTTACAGGTCACCCATAAACCTTAAATTAAGTCTACTTCAAGAGCAGTTAAAGGCAGCGGCTCGACTGAATGACAACTTTGGGGTATTCATAGTTCTCGGTTTGCCTGGTTGAGCTAAGTCCAAGACTGTGCTTTGCAGCTTTAAGAGATATCAATAACCCGTTCTATCAGACATGAGTAGTGCTGTTTGGGCGGCTGCGAGAGTGACTGCTGGAGCCAGTAATCCAATTGCCGCCGAGATGGGTACGGTATCTCCACTCACGAGCCAATCGTGCTCTAGAGGACAGGCGTACGCCGTCCGCCCAAATAGCACTTTTCACGTTTGAAAAAAGGGGGTTAATGATAACCTTTGAAGCTGCAAAGCACAATCTTGGACTTAGCTCATCTCAAAAGAACTGAGAAGATGAATATGCCAAAGCTGTCATTCTGCCGAGCCGCTGCCTTTAAGCTTTTGCAATCTCAACTTAGCCGGTGCCAGCAGATCGCGTTGTGGTATTGTTTATCACGTCATCGATACAGGGGATCCCATTCTGAGTGTCCCGGCAGGCGCGGCTCGGGTTCGCGAGGCGCCTCGCTTTAGGCCACTCGCCCCTTTCGCGAACGTGTCTCGAAGCACCCAAGCTCTTCAGCCATTGACGCCAAGGATACGGTATTTCCCAGGCCTAAGTCATGGGAATTACTGCTTACGAAATGCATCGAGACACGTTCGCGAACGCGGCGAGTGCCCACGAGAGGCGGCCCGCAAGGACCCGAGCCGCGCCGATCGCGGCGTTCTGAATGGGACCCCTGCATCGGGAAACGGCCGTTTTGAACCGCTCGCTATCACGGCGCGCCTCTGATTGGTCAACATGTCTACCACCATTGACAAGGCTATGAGCAGGAAGGAGCATCACTTTTCTACATCTTTCGTGTCCAACATGATGATAGGCTTTGGCAAAGGTATATATCATATGCTTCAAACTAATTGTAAGATTTTTCCCCCTTGACTGCGAGCTCGACTTGCTAGCTTTGCCAGCGGCGCCGCACGCGACGGAACGGGCATCGCGCGCGAAGGGTTCAAAAGGGCCTACACCCCCCCCCCCCCTGCATTTCTTCAGCAAGGGATCACATTAGTCTGTATTTTTGATGTTGATAAAAACGGACGTTGCAACGTGTAGTTTTTTTTTATTTACAGGTCGATCCTGACTCTCAGGGTATCAACCTATGCGAGGTGCAAAACCGGTGCGGCAGTCTTCAGCGAACTAGTTTGCTTTACGATCCTAATGAAGAGCATTAACACACTTACGACATGTCGTTTGTCGTTTTCTTGTCATCGCAGACTCATTCATGAGAGAGTCATACTTTCATATGGTTGTGCTCACGGAATTCTACTTGTTACATTTGACTCGGCTTTGAGACGCGTAAGGCATTCACAGGTGCTCAATACGGTGGTTGCATGGTCCCTACTCGCTTTTCTGCTTTCATGTGCTAGCTTTTCGGACTTCGATTAATTATGCCAGTAATGGCCTCATCCCATTACCTGGAAAGCATTAAAATTACAGAGACAGCAGCGCGAGAAGCGGTTGCAACAATTGTGAACACGTTCTCATGCAGTGAGTATTTGGTCGAATTCGGGTTGACGGTTGACTCAGGATCGGACCCGGATTACAGGCAGACACGATATCACCCTAGGCGCAGTGATGCCGCTCAGTGCAATTACGTCTTTGCAGCTTTGGATGGGTAAAAGGTTGCAGCTGACTTTCATTTCATGATATGTGAAGGCTATATAGCTGTGCGTGCTGCGGTAGTCTTACAAAGCTTGTAAGGGCGGTGGCACACACGCATTTAGAATGTGCGAAAGAGGGAACCTGAGTGATGAGAAAAGTTTGGGATCAGCGCTTATACCACGGGTTGTGCTTGTTCGTATTGTACATTGTCACATGGCCAGAGTTAAGGTTTTGTTTCTGCCTTTTGAAGAAGTCAAGCAACGAAAACGGATGGACGATGGACGATCTCCGCGGAATATTTTACCATATATCATATCATCTCGAAGTGTATTACGATAACAATGAACACAGAGCCAGTTGATAGTGTGCTGATTCTTTGCCTATCGTTAAAGATTTGGTAGTGCTGATTGTAACGGCTTTTACGGGAATCTCCTTTCAGGCCACTACTCGGATTCGACTTGACACAAACCTTTTTGCGCCAGAAAGCAGCACTCGGAGTGGCTGCTTACGGGTATTTTGCACGCGCTGGACGACTCGCCGGTCTCCACTTTTGCCTTTCAATATCCACCGCGCGACGTCCTCCCCCTGACACGTTTGACTGTACGAGTCTAGAGTAGAGGCGCACATCTTGTCCGCGCGCTTGTACGAGGTTTTTGAGGTGGGATATCCGCCATTTTCATGCGAATTTGAATCCGCATAGAGTATAATACAGGGGAAATAAACCAGAAATTCTCAGACCCATTTCTGGTAAGCAGCTCAATACCGTTGTGAAGTGTGATCTCATACTTTTGTAATAGCATGGGATGACCACTGCCTGGAAGCGGAGATTATCAAGCGTAGTCGTTTTCCCACTCCCTGCTTATGACAATTTATTGTTGCTCAACTGTGAAAATGTAATCACGCACAGAAAAGTAAATGGCTTCTCGCAGTACGTCTACGTAACAGTGAGGCATTGTAATGGGGCATATCATTATAGTTCACCATAGTGTTCTATTACTTACTACTCTCGATTCCCCATCATCTGCTGCTTGAATCGGGCCTAGTTATGGAATTACGCATTGGAATAAACAAATTCATGTTACGGTTACGTATTGTCGTCAGTGTGTTAAGAACTAGCTCTGTTGTATCCTCTGATCACGTGTCATCATATGTAGGAGTTGATATAATTATGAAAGGCTTAGTGATTCATGAAAGAATCAATGAACAGTTTTATTAGTTTTGTCACACATCTTTGAAGTTCAATAAAAGTTCTATGCTTCGTTACGCATCCCTCAATCATTAGTTCATCATTCGGATCCTTGTGCACTTCTCAGATGTGCTCCCAGCTCTCAAATTTGTGGCCCTATCTTTAGTCATTGCTAAGCCAATAATGTGTATTAGAAAAAGGTGCAGAAAATACACATGATTTGCTAAGGACAACCGATAGTTCTTAGTGCGGCGTGATCAATATTCTCAAGTTTACCAAATCTCTCTCGTCCAATCCAAACGTTATAACTCGTAATCTTCCGCGTAAAAATTTATCCCATTTTTGATTAGAGGATTAGAAAAGGATGAATTAGCGAGTAATTCTTCGTTGGCACAAAAGTTCACACGGGGAAGATAAACTCATTGAAAAAAATGAGTGTCATATCATTCACCTACGGTTACATTCAGATATGTGCACAGTAAAAGCTCCCACAGAACTAGGCTATGGGTTCTGTGCGAGCTTCGTCCGTCCATTCTTCAAAGGCATAATAGCCCTTTCCCATGGGTTTTGGTGCTTTTGAATGGAGGAGTCTTGACTCATTTATCGGTGTCTTTAGAATAAACTGATTGAAATATGTTCACAGGACTGAATGGAATTTTCTCTTGCACAAATGAGGCTGTTGCTCTTTCAAAGTAGTGCATCAATCTGTTTTATCTACGGGCTGTGAATATTCTAACTCGGATGCCCTCTAAGGACTGCACTCATTCTTCCGAAGCTTCAGATAGGAGTTCTGTTGGCCAGATGAAGATGGCCATGCTGATTGTCACTCTAAGTGTGCATAAAAATGTCATCACAGCTTTCTACATCGATTATATATCAAGTCACGAAGCTTTCGAAAATTCTTCAGACGCTGAAGGTGTATATGCTTTTCTCGGACCATCGTAATCAGTTTGATACCCGTACGAAACTTCTGTGCGCACAAGTAGCAAAAACGATGGTATGTCCATCAAGATATTGGGTGAGGTTTTAAGTTTATTAGTACATATGCAAAAGATTCACATTGATTTTGAGTCGAAGATTTCTGAATCTGATTATTCAGAACAAGAATAGAGAGCAAGTAACAAATCCAAAACTGCATTTGCAGGCCACAGAATACAGCTTTTGGCGTCATATACTTGGCAGTTGACCACTTGAACTTTCTATAAACTCCTTTTTATGAAAACCTGGTTCATCTGGACATGATATGCAACATCTGTGACAGAACGTTGCACTGGAATATTTTAACAATTCAATAATCTCAGTCATCATCAAACTGCATTTGTTTTCGTCAAAGGCTTCATAATTATAAATGGGAATGATTAATCCCAGAGTTCAAATACAAATCCTGTTTGTAACGAAAGTGTTATTCCAGAGCCTTTGCTGGTGCTTTATATTGGAGAGATAAAGGGGCATCCGCGTACATATGGGTAGGCATGCAACTCAATTACCGGAATTACCAATAAATCCGGACACAACGGCAGCTTCGTTTCAATCGACGAGACAATCTCATTCCCTTCATTAATAATTTGCACTTCTTCACGAGCTGGTATTTTCTCTCAATTTGTATGGTAACTGAACATCGATGACAGTGAAGGCTGGGTAAAATCAAGCTCGATCAAACTTTTTGCCTGAAGTGTAGGATAATGCTTCCAGTCAATTGCTTTCCTTTAATTATTACTGCTCACAAACTATACACTATTTGCTCAAGCTTAAATTTCGTGTTTTCGCATTACTTTCTTCGTAAAGGTATCGAGAATATCTTCAATAAGTAAATGCTCTACTTTATCACCTAGAATTAAGGCACAAGGAAGGCAGTAACTATCTATAAAAGTTCTGTAACGAGCATCAAACGCTTCACTTCGAATTTAAAGCAGAATATGCTTTTAACGAGCAACATTTCGAATCCTCGTATGAGAAAGCTTGAAAAAATTAGAAAGACTTTTTTCATTATATGGAAACCAACTTAGAAGGACAATATGGTGGATTAGTTTGTTTTCCAAGATCTCAATCTGCTTCAGAGTCCGATCAGTCAAAATTTTACACCAGTAGCAAAATTCAGTTCTACTAGCGACGTCTAATGGTCATGGTGCTTGCTTGCTCTTTTGAAATAGTAATGACTGTAGAAAACTCATGACTTTCAAAACAACAAGTACCAAGAATCATGCTTTTTCAAATGTTTTTCTGGGATTGCTTTTCATCAAGCAAAAACATGCAGCGAACCGTCACACAAATAACAAAGAGTTTGCTAGTCATTCTTTCAGAATTTAATCCAAGAAACTATTTGCCTCTATTCTCAAGATTCTGTCTGATACTTGTTACCATCTTCAAGGTTAAATCCAGCTTGCATATGTTGTAATAAAGAAGGTCACCTTCATCATTTCCTCTTTGCCTTCAATGTTTTCATTATGTATTTATGAAATGGATTTGTAAAATTTCGTAGTGTGTTAGGTCATGATGACACATCGTTAGGACATGAGTCTTGCGCCATCTTTTTTATGGATATCTAATCTCTTCCGCTATTCAACGCAGGGCTCGGCACAGGCTACTTATAAGAAGCTGGATATCGTTTTTGTGGGTGCGAAAAAGCAAAAGTTGGGTTAGGTTTTTTTAGTCGACGTTTCGTTTCTTAGTCGATTCGGATAATTTGAATAGAGGTCAAAAGGGACTTCGCAAAATCTAGCGAAAGTCAGGGGGCACTTCATTTTTTGCATTTTCGGAAAGCCACCTCGTGCTGAGTCCTGTTTCAAAGTGTTTATTCGATAAATTTGCGGAGCGAAATCATGCGACTTCAGTTACGATTGAAAATGAAATTATTGATTGCTTGCTCCCGATAAAAGCTGAGAAAAATTCAAATAATGACACGCTGAAATTCGCGCAAGAAATGCTAGAAGCTCCATTGGAATGTGATTTCAGTATTGTCTAAGATTCATTTCAAACCTCTAAAATGAAATTGAAGTAAGACCTGTTATACTGCATAACATAAAAATCACTGATAATCTCAAAATGTATGTCCAATGATCACAGTGGGGTAAAAATTTGTCATTGTCCTAACCTCCTATGATTTGAGCTCGAGTGAGAATGTATACCCTTTGATTCAACAACATTGGCGGCTGGAAGGTGACGCTTGCGCCCGCGACGCAATCTAATTCTCTCTCGCGAAGGTGCTCTCTGATTGTTCCCTAGCCTTTATTAGGTCAGGAAGCCCCTCCTGGCAACCGCCAATCCATTTGAATCAGAGGGTACTCAGATTGGCTGTAATGAAGAATAGGTTTGGTTTGCGACTGTAGTTTTTCTCCACGTTTTTCATAAGAACTAAACCTACTTCTGCTTATGAGCCAAAGGGTCAACTTGCGTGGCTGCAGTCAGTAATAGAAGGAGCTCTGAAACTTCATCATTAAGCATTCTCGGTGGAAACCTCTACAGCTGTCTTTCACTGCATGTTATCTAGGGTTTATGAAGTAGCCTTTGAGAAGTGTTCTGGTGCGATTCTCTAGTGTCGCATCTTATCTTCCTCCAAAGAAAAGTTGAAGATTCAGTACAGTGTTTTACAAAAGCAAATTTTCCCAGCATCTCAACCAACTGAAAGAAAAGTTCTTGGCTATTGGATTGTTTTCTTGCACGTTTGATGGTTTTACTGCATCAGAAATCAAATCAGTTCAAAGCATATCAAGCAGCGTCTTGATCTTCTTTTATGAAATGTGTTTAAAAGGAAATGTTCATATTCTGAACATCGAGATTTGTTACGGACATAAGCGAATAGATTTCTGCAACTTGCATAAACATAACATTTGCGTATAAACTAGAAAATTAGAGACATGCATGCGTACTTCATCAACCTGATCATAATCGTAAGAATGAAAGCGCAAAAGTGTACAGATCATTCCTCCTCATTTAGTCTATATGGACTCTTAGAAGTAGTCTGGATTCCAAAGCAAAGCCTTAACATTCGTTAGAATGCTGCGGTAAATTGCTGTCAGAGGACCCAATCTTACCACGATTTTTTCGAACGCTGATAACTTATGAGCGACCTTCAAGTTCTCCTGTGCAGTACGGGATGGATGAACAGGACTAGCACAATCCAACTATTTCTGTCTCACAAGGATGCTCTCAAATGATTTTTACGAGCAGAAACATACACGAACTATACCGGTTGTCCACTCAAATTGTCCATCTCCAGGACCCGACACGGAGATGGAAAATGCAAACCCTTAAAACGAATTCGCATTTGCCATTTTTGAACTTTACGATTTCGCACTTGATCGCGCCAGCTGCGTGGGTTATTCAGTTGAATCACACTTTCTTCATCGAGAGGACCGGCGTCGTTGCTCTTTCGGATCCTAACAAAGAAGGGAGGAGGTGTTATGAAACCAAAATGTTGCGGACTTTGTGTGAAAACAGATTCATGTGAAGATTTTGAAAAATTATGTCAACCGCATGTTTTGCCACCTTCAGGGTAGCATTGTGATGGCACATACCACCTTAATTCAGAAAAAGACTTGAGCCCGGCCTTCATTCATATAAGCTTTTCATATTATTTCATACTTTGCTTGTTCCCCACTACTCATATACACACCGTTTAGAGCGATCCCGTAAGCTGTGCATTTAAAACGTGTCATTCTTCCAGTTCCTTCTAATCTAAGATTTTCCCACGTAATCCACAATACACTGCGCTGTACTCTCTAGCCCTTTTCCGTTTGTCCACCAGAAGTCAGAGTCATGTCGTTATATGGCTGTAAAAAGGCAGTAAATTATTACTTAATGAAAGGATGTAGGGATTTTTAAAGGTGACACGCGAGCTGGAGCTGTTTTGTGCGTCCTGTGTAGCAAACTGTCAATGGAGTGCTATACGTATGCGTAATTTACGATATCCCCTTTGTTTTTAATCCTAAACGATTTCCAGCATGACATTTGGGTTCCCCCCCCCCCTCGTTCCAGGTCCTGTATCACTGTCTCTCACAAGAGCCTTCAAACATACGGGCAGTACAAAGGTGGCTTTACCAGTACATAAATTAACCCGTATTAAATTGTGGTATGGAAGTTTGCCTTCCTTCGAGCACCATATTGTAGAGCTGGCTTCAACTCAAGTTCACATTATAGAGCGAATCACCGATTGCCCTTTATTTCTGCAGTATCACGGTAGAAAATTCCAGCGGACAGCTCCATTGTGGATTAGCGGTGCTTCAAAATTTCTTAAAAGATCTGAAAAGTTGTGTACGAGGGATTTTGGGCACGATGTTTCCAGCTGTTGTAATCACAAGTCCAAGAAGCGTAGTAAAAACGGCTACTTGCTTTACTTGGCTAGCTTATGATCGAAGCACTACGGTTAAGTGCAAAGTTCATATCTTATGTCAGCGGCTGTGATTGGTCTAGTGTAAGAGTTTAGGCTGTTCGGTTTGCTTTCTTACGCAGGACTGTGTTTTCGATGACTAAAAGCCTTTTCAGAAATCCCATTGTAATGTAAAGGTCCACTCAGTACTGGAAATTTAAGTTGGGCCAGCTCTAATATGTTGTCTGAAGAAGGGCGAAAGCTTTTCATACTAGAGCGTTATTACACATCAAACTTCGACACATTGCTGTGGGACACAATGTATATTTCGAAAAAAAAATCAGTTATTGCTGTTCCGATATTGATTTTTGCTGTAGCTAGTTATTGCTGTAATTACATGAAAACGTAACATTCACTTGTAAATTTGGCTAGGACATGGGCGCCTATTCCTGCCGAGATTTTATGTTCAGCATTCAGGGATAGTTTTTAAACCTATACGAATCAGTGCAAGCTCGAATATAACATTTTGAATATTTAGATATTAAGTGGATATGTGACACGTGGTGTCGAGCATCCAAATGCATATCATCTAGATACATTTGAAAAATCAATTGTTTTGAAAGTCGTCAGCCATCGAGCTTGAATTAGGAGAAGTTGTTACCCTTAGAAAGTAAGGGCTTGTTTGAAAAAAAGTGCGAAAAAATTCTGTACCAGTTAGAGCAAAGCCGTATTTATTAGACGTAATGAGATTTTTCTCATTTTGATATGTCATAAACTATTGTGAAGCAGGGTAAGAGGTTAATGTTTCGAGATTCCACTTATCGGAACCATTTGGCTTTGACAAATATGTATAGATTGTTTATTGGAAGTTGCAATATATTAGGTTGTCGGATAATTTCTGTTACACTTTTATTTTTGTTTCTAAAAAATCTATGAGATTTTCGAATTATGTTCAAAAAGTGTTGACGGGGCGCAATGGTCTACCCATCAGTACTGTCAGATCCGTGGTCCTTGCACAAAACATCCCTTAATCGGTGGGAGTATGTTTTATGGGCATTTTTGTCAACGGGCTGGCATTCTTGCAGGCGATCAGTCAGAGACCGTGCGATGTGATAATCGGGAAGAGTATGTTCCATAGATTTTGCGAATATAAAGAGGTGGCACATTCATGTCCGCACACGATCAGATGAGCTACATGTCGCGCCATATCAGCACACATCCACATTCTAACATGAAGAACAATTTCTAAAAAATAAAAAAAATTATTTACGGCTTTTCCGTATCAAATCCTACCCGATGCACACAAAAAGGAAAATTTCCAACAATTTTTCAATTTTCTAAATTCCTTTCTTACTCCTCGTTTTTGAATGCTAGCGGCACCAAAGCACTGCCGTAGAAGAGAAAGTGCGAAGATATGTTCTAAAAAAATTATGGGAGAGAAAAAAACAATTAGACGCAGAGAGGAGAATCGAAGAAAAGTGACTTTTGGGTCCGCTTACAAAGTTGTCGTAAAGCTAACTATTTGAGCATTTGCGGAATCAATCATACTATTGTGTACGCCTTGCCGTGTCTTACATATGGAGCATTTCTGAAAATTCTAGAGAGCCTCCGGACTCAGAATTTTGCAAAAAAAGTGTGAAATTACCCGACAACTTAATACTAACCTAACCTTTGCACTTGAACATATAGAACAGGCTTGATTGCCGAAAAAATGTTTAGAAGAAATTTTGTCGTCATGAGTCGTCTTAACTAAGCCTTGAATTATCAACTGTCAAGTGTAACTACCTATCATTTCAGAGGATATATGAACAAACTGACCACATTTGAGCACATGACCATCTCCTGCATGTTATTCGAGTCAAGGTCGGAAGAGAAGGACTATAGAAAACTAACCAAAGCAGAGAGGAGGAAGAGACGACGAGCCACACCAAAGTACAGAAATCTACATGCTACAAGAGAAAGGTACCTAGGCGTACTGGTAAATGAGCGAAAATTAGCATTTTTGCAGAATTCGAGTGGAGTCGTTCAATTTGGCCTTCGCCCAACTACGTTCGCTGCTTCCCACACTTCCGGTCGAGAAAAAGCTGTCTAAGATTGAAATACTCCGGCTGTCTATCTCCTACATCACATTCTTGCACAAGCTGTTGTCGTTTGAGTGATGAATGGCACCCCAGAGAGAACGAACTATCTGAGATTGCAAATAAAAATTCAGCAAATGCACTTTCTATGGACACAATATAGTTACCATGCCTCTAAAGAAGCTTTTTTGTTAAATTTGTTAGTCCGCTCTGATGCATCGAATGAGCAGGCTTTTCGTAGTCATTCGCTTCATTGCCACAGCACTTCCGAAGCAATCACATTTCTGCTCTGCGTCCTCTCCACCTCACATTTGTCCATGACGCACACGAACAAAAACCTCAGTGAGAACTCTCTCTTGTTGGAAACATTGGAAACGTGGAAAAAGGAGAAAATCAAACAGTTGTAAGAACACTCCTAGTTGTAAGATTAGCACAGGAAGAGTGTAAGCAGGTAGTTTTTTCTTTGCTAGACTATTAGGTTGGTCCACGAGTCTTGCACATCATGGAAACGTCTTTTTTGAGACGTTTAAATAACTTTATAGATTTTTGAAACATATAAACAGCTATCTTTGACATTTTATGTTGCTGAACTCTCAACTTAGTTTTCTGTGTAAGTGATGAACAAAAATTACAATCCACATAGAACAATTCTCTTCGATGAAGCGAATAGGACTTACAAGGAATGCATGTTCAGTCGAAGTGGCCTTTTTAGATGGGACTTATACCATATTAAAGAGCATAAATTGCTGCATAAATTGCTGACTCCAAATCTACTTCCCTATCTGCAGAGCGTTAATGGACGAGAAGTTATGAGCGCTTATTGAGGCAAAAAATTCAATGTGCAAGTAGAACAAAAATAGCCAAACTTTTTCTAGCTCTCTAATGGAGCAGCGATAATCATCAGAGCACTTTATTTAGAAAATACTCTCTAAAAAACATATCACACTTGTTGCATTATTTGAGGGTTAGTAAGATTTTAGCAGCTCATTTTATCCAAAATGCACGCTCAATTTTTGGCTCTAAAAAACGCTCATAACTTCTCGTGCATAAACGCTCTGCAGATAAGGAAGGGACATTTGAAGTCAGCGTTTGATGCCCTTCAATATGGTACACATTTCATTTAGAAAGGCCACTTCGACTAAACAAGCTTCCCTTGTTAGAACACAGCCAGAATTACTAGTGGATCTCTTTTAGGCTATACACCATTTTTAACAAACAATCAAAATAAAGAAGGTCTGAGTGTTCATCTGTATTAGATCTCTGAGATATATGTCAACACTGGTTTTTGCTTTGAACATTATCAGAAAGTGCATGATCTTCTCTTTTTCACCAGTATCGAATCACAAATTTTTGGAACATTGATTTTCCAGAAACTTCTCTGCAAAATTTATGGCCCAACCTGGTGGTCAATAAGATAGGATGTAATAATTGTCAGTTTTTCTCAAGAAACTTTAGAACTTCGTAGTGGCGTATGAAGTGACTCTTTGTTAAACAGAAAATAACGCCACCAGCAGAGTTTTGGAAGAATTTGGGACAAGGTCAGATCCAAAAGATGCGAAAATTGCAAGCAGTGTCAAAAAGTCTCTACAGAAACCCAAGGACAACGTTGATTTGCTGAGTATTGCTTCCTAATGAAAATAAATATATAAATGTCCAAATGTTGCAAATGTTGGTGTTGGTGAATGTCGGAGCAAAAACTACAAGGAAATATCTAGAAGTGTGATGTTTTGTGCGAGTCGAGTTTTCCACTAACCCTGTTAGGCTTGTATTTCTTTTGATCTAATTTTTTTCAATCTTTCTTGATATTCTTGCTTTTCTGCTTCCGATATGTATTGGCGCACCTAGAGTGCATCAAATAAAAATTAAATTGAAATAAATAAAATGGGCAACTCAGTCGATGCGTTCCAATTTGACAATCCCCGCGGACATAATAACCATGCACTTCCAAAACCTTTAGCCACAGCCCAAATTTTCGGCACACCGTAGAAGCTGGCTATTTTCTTTCTATTAATATTAATAAAATATCGTAATTCTGGCTTCTGGAGATGAAGGTGAGCAGATATGTCGCTCATGCCCGCTGTTGCCGTGGAGAAAAGCCCAAGTTGCAAGACTTATTTATTGTAATTTGAGGACATAAAACACAAATGTAAGCAGCACAAATTGTTAGCACTTGAAACTCAATAAGATCTCATGGGAATAAATGGCATTTTCGACTAGAACTTAATACTTCTCAAGAATATCTGTATTATTATGTACCGAAATTGATATGCACAGCATAGGAGAATAGGTTAGCACGAAAACAAAATCCCGACAAGTTGAACGAAAAATAATTACAAATTTTTTTCAGTTTTAGAATGGAAGAAATTATGTATAAGCTCGATTGGGAACGGGAAGATGATGGTAGAATTCTTTTCAGCACTGAAAGTAAGTATAATCAGAACCTGTAGCTAGAATATATCTGGATATATTCACCTGATACTGTTGAGCGTTTGCAAGTAACGTAGTTGGATTGCACACGGTGACGAAGCAATCTAAAGTAGAGATTCAGTCCCATAATACTCAGTCTTGATGGGAAATTTAGAAGTTATGTCGAAAATTCTCATGAGAGAATCGATAGTGTTATTTTCATCCAATACTGCTTAGCTGCTCAGAATGCTACCAGGGGTGTTCGTTGCTAACGCCGAGCAAGTCGATCGATTGAGCTCATCTATGTAAATGGGAGCGCTGGCACGGCGCTGTAACAGGTCTAACAAGGTGGTGGCAAAGAGGCAACTCTGGACTCAGCCTTAGTCAAGTCCCAATTTGAAATCTCACTGAAAGCACGACAAAAATTTCGCGTTGATATTACGCTTAGAAACTCTTTGAATCAAAGCGGGTGTGATTTACGAAGGACGAGTTTACAAAGTCAGCAAGTGATATGCAGTAGTGATAAAGATTTGAGATCGCACATTGCCCCTTGCGAAGTGAACGGCAAGCGTTAGACGACAGAACGTGCAGGACGCAAGCCACATAAAGCCCGACTCAAAACTATGCACTTTTTTAAGTGACTCGGGTAATGTATATACTATATACTATATACGATAGTATATACTCGCCCCCCCCCCCCCCTGTTTTTGAGCCAGAGAAGTTTTGCACGGGGAGTCATCTGCGGTCCACAAAATTGGGTTTGTCGCCTGACGCCCTACACCCACAGATGTCCTAGCTGATAGTAAAAATGTGTCTTAAATGCCTTTCAGTGCGTTTACCAATCGGTCAGAGTTTACTTACAACAAACAGGTCAAATTACGCGTTTTTTTCCATCATGAACCTAGTCAGACGACGGATGCGCATATGAAGTACGCGGTGCGCAAGTTTCTGTTGACCTATCGTCGATTCGTCGACTGTACGGACTGGACATAACCGCAGAGTACGCGCCGCGAGATAAAACGCTTGCTCCAATACAAACTCGCCATTATTAAAATCGTGCTCTCGCAACATTTTAACCGCTCCGCGCGTGGTCCCAGCGGTTGAGCAGTCCGTGCGGCCAACGAATCGACGATAAAGTGTATGCACCCCACGCGCAGCGGTGATAGATGCCCGACGATTGTGTCCGCTTCGGAAAACAAACCATACGCTTTGGTCCGGGACTAGTCTTCAATCTCCATGTGCAACTGCAGAAAGAGAGTTTTTTCATCATGAGATATATAGCAGCTGGGATGAGTTTGAGTGTGAAAGCTACGTCAACTGCTTACTGAGTTTTGAGGTCATGCTGCAAGGTACTTCAACAAATTTCTCAAAAAATATATAAGAGCATTTGAGTTCCTTATTATGTTAAAACAGATTGAAAAAGTAAATGTTGGAGGTCAGAACCTTTGAAAATGGACCTAATGGCATTGTATATACGATCAATTTCTCACCAAAAGCCGTCGAACTTAGCAAGTGGTAACTTCAGGTAGCTGGTAAGCTGGAAACTTAGTCTGCTATTTTTGAAAGATATGCATAGCTCTAATAATAAATTGGGACATTGTATTGGTGACCTTTGGAGAAAGCGAGTCCTGACCACACAACATCTGGGAAATTGGTGGGTGCTTAAAACAAGCAAACAAGCTTTTTGCTAGACTGAGGAACAGTACCCAAGGTCCAAAACATTCTTCAGTGTACTTTAGCATCGTTAAATAAAGCCTTCAGATAGTTTCTTCCAGAGCAGCCAATTTGTAACAATTAAGAGCATAAGTTAACCATTCTTCATGCCCAACCCAAAAATATTACTCCAAAAAATCTTCTACAGTAAAGTTGGGCATCAGTTGTCGAAATTATCTAACATACCACCTCAGCTGCCTCGCGAAGCGCCTTGGAAGCCTTCTGCTCTCCTTCAGCAGCGATGACCTGGAACAGGGTTAGCAGTTAGATTGGCATGTACTACAGATCTCAGAGGTTGGAAGCTATTGAACCTTTGCTCCGGCTTCTCGAGTTGCTTCAGCTTCCGCAGCCATGGCACGTTGAAGCTGCAGCGGAAGACGAACATCCTTCACTTCGACCCTCTCCACTTTCACGCCCCAAGGATCCGTCGCCTCGTCCAAAGTGCACTACAAGGTGATATAGAACTAACCACTGACAAAAAGCACAGCTTTAAGTGCAGTTACCTGCATTTGGTGAGAAATTGCTTCCCTATCTGACAACATTTCAGCCAGTGTTCTTGTTCCGAGAATGTTTCGAAGAGTCGTTTGCGCTAACAGCTTCGTTGACCGCGACGCATCCTCCACGTTGGTAACCTGCAATGCAACTGATCATTTTGTAGCGAAGACTACCGTTTCCCATAATGAGCCAGTTATTTGAATCGATTCATTGACCGCGCAAAGCTGTCGTGAGGAGTACGCAACGCGTGGGAAACGTCTGTATCACTACAAATCGCGCTCTCGTAGTGAGCCGCGCCTCGCGTGCTCCCAACAGCCAGCGCGTGCGGTCGTCGGCGATTCGATGGCAGTGGAGAAGTTTTGACGGTAGCTGTAGTGTTCCTAGGATGAGTGCATTTGAGCGGAAAAAGAAGCCATGCTTGTGACCAACGTTTGCGCATAAAAAATTTGAAACACTTCTAAATTTTTTACCGCAAGTGTTGTTGTTAACGCAGAAGCACTGTATTAACGCTCAAATCTACAAAGTCACAAAAGACTGGCTTCGCGGTGAAAGATGCCAAGCGGAAACACTAGGCCTATTCGCCTTTAACAGTGCAGGGTGCGAGTGAGCTACAGTCGAGTAGATTTTCCGCTTAATACAGTGTGCTTACACTGGAGGTGAAATGCGGTAAAGTTTGCGCGTGAACAAGTAGCCACGCCAGTAATGCCAACATTTTGCGCGCGCAAGTGGCCGGCGTCACAGGCGTTGCTATGTCTTTACGCGCAAATTTCACCGCATTTCATCTTCAGTGCAAGCACACTATATTAAGCGGAAAATCTACTCGACTGTACCTTTATTACTCAATATGTCAAGCTGATCAGCAAGGATTGGAAGCCATAATTATCGCGTACTACTTTCAGGAAAGATAGCGTAGTTGCAAGTTGCATGTGAGCTATACAATAGTAGCGGTCCCAGGGTTTTTCGTCGAAGGGGGGGGGGGGTGGGCAATTCAACAATTTTCTTCTGAATGAAGGTGCTTGCGTTAGCCACGTACTTCGAAAAATTTTTTGGATGGTCTCCAAGCCACCGAAAATTTTTTTCTAAAGCTCTTAATTTTTAGAGAAATTTTATGAACATATCACTTGCAATCACTTGCTTGTACCCTGTGAACCCTGTGAACGAGTTTTGCGTAATTTCCCTGCTTTTCCGAATTTTGAAGTGGAAAGATCGTTGTATTACCAATGTTTCGAACTACCTTCTACAACTAAGAAAAGCCTATTCGTGCACGCCATCCTTCGGAAAACTTTCATCAATTAATCTGCACTGAGACCAAAATGAATACAGGACACAGGAAAGAAACCGCCTAGAGTGTACGATCAATCTGGTAGCTTTAAAAGAAAATAATGCCTTCTCAGTTTTTTAAGCTAGAATCGATGTCCTATAAATGTAGCTTGTACAAGGTCATGGTAAAGTGGTTGAAGTTCTGAGGGTTTGTCATACTAGACTGTATAATTGAGAGGAATCCAGGGCTGCTAAGAATAGAGTTCACCATTTCGTTTTTCAATTTTTCACAATCTAATCACGATGGATCAGTTATATATGCAGGGGTTCCAGAACTCAGGTGCGTATATATCGTTTCATATATTCGTAGAGTTTTATAAATCAACGAAGCGTCAAAATTTTGACAAAATTTAATTAGTAATGTATGCCCCGCTGGTGGAAAAAAGCTTCTGCCACCTTGCTGTCAAATTTTCAATTCCGTTGTCAGAATTCCGTGGGGTCTGATCCCAAAAGTGTCGTTTGCCGAGCGCCTGAGATCGTCTTTTGGAAAAAGAAAAAAGCAAACCCCTTTCATATGATCTGCGTTAGACCGGAACAGATGATTATCCGCTAAAGCGAAATCTTAGTAGCATATAGAATTCTAGTGTACCTCCCGCTTTGGTCTTGCATGACAGCTACAACAATGTTTGCCTTTTGGAATCATGGTTTGTCGTGTCGACATCCACTAAACCTGTTTGCTAGGCCTTTTTTGCAGTAGAGATTCGTTTAGACGGTGCAGCTGGGTTGATTACGGTATGGACGACAGTCCTGTCTTGTCTAGCAGTTTTCAGTGCAGGACTCCTGACTATCCTATATCATTTCATTTTGAGAGAGCCCGGTAAATCCGCGGTTCCTTTCGAAACACTACAATCCTTTTTTTGTCTCATACTGAAGGGGTAGCACATTTTGCATAATCGGCAAAATTCTGAACGCTTTGAGCGGGTGCCAAAAATGTTTCTTTTTGTCTCTAGAGAAATCCATCTTCGAAAGCTGAGGAATCAAAACAGATAAGTCTCATCAAAATAGTTATTGGTAAAATGATCAGTTCTTCCCAATGATACGAGCATCCTGCTGCAAATCAACCGATTCTCAAGGAAAAGAGAACGAGAATGAAAACTCCATGAATTTAAGAAATGACCTAATAGATGATTGCATGGGTTTACTATATGCAGAGATAGTGAGAGGTTCGATTTCTTGACCATACATCCGACTTTTTTATGAAAATTTTCATAGATTTTGGCTTCACTTTGCGGAAATTACGATTTAAGTGAATGTTTGATGGTCACTTGTGGAGCTTTTTTTTGCTCTATCGAACGCTAGCTCGAATGCCTATTTAATGTTCAACTTGTCACTGATTCCTAACTATACATTATTTTTTTAGTGCTTCTTAGTAAACATTATTTTTTCGAATCTAACAAAACTCGACATTGCTATTGGTCTGAAAAAGCAATCAATATTGATATTTCTTTCATTTCTCTTAAACATTTTTCAGGACCATCCACGCACTCATCTCCCTCCTCTAGCAGGCCCTTTTTGCGGCATTTGTGTGCGTGTCATTTGTGAGGCATGGCATGAGACCTTCACGAAGATCAACTTACAGACCACCTGACATAGCCCTCATCTTTCCCATCACCTTTCCAGATTCAAATGCACACCGTCAGCCATTTTATGCAGAAAGTAGAGCAAAGGCGCATAATCAACCCCGCAAATTTCACAGCTTTCTCGCTCATTCTGCAGCGATTCTCCAAACGGATCCAAATTTGACTTTGAAGTCCACTTTGAAGCGGGATATGGTCACAGTTTGGGGATGGGAGGCAGAGGGGGCAGGGTTGGGTTGTCAGATCCTTAGCTGGAAAGGGAGCAGTTCAGAATTTTGATGGAGACAACCACATAGTCTGATATAGATTATCGAAAGCGAGATAGCAGAATAAAACATCGCTCAAAGTTTCCGCAAAAAAGACGCGACGGTCACCTGAGTTAGGGGATATCACCGTAGCGTTGCCATATCTCACTTTAGAGTAATCCGATGGCACCATTCCATTCTGCATGACGAGACGCATCTTCGAGAATACAGAGATATCTACTTGGTCACGGTAGGCGCATGGTATGCAACCGGATTTCGCAAATCCGTTCAGATTTTTGCTTACGGTAGGTTAGTCAGCGGACTTGAAAACTGCGTAATGACTAATCTACCGTAGAAAAAATTGCATTCGGCCCGAAATCTGGCTGCCTACCGTGCATATACCGTGGCCAAACAGGTAACTTTATAAATTAGAAGATGCGCCCCGACGAGCTGAATTCGAATGGTGCCATTGGATTCACATGTTCACTGTAACGCCTAAGGCATACCTCACACAATTTCAATCGCTGCGCGATTCGGCACGCAACGACTCTTCAGTCATCAGGCGTAAAAGTGCTTTACTGGGGCGGAAGCTGATGCGTTTGTGACAATATGCAGAAGCTAAGCGTCTATGCATACAGAAGATGCGCACGGTAAATCCGTAAAGATCTGGCAGAATGCCAAGTCGCGATATGGCCACCCCGTCGCTCTTTTGCAAAAATTATGAGCGGTATTATATTGCTGCAACTGCATTGTTTGCACCATAGAACGATCTGCGTGTTTTAGGAGGAAATTCCCATTTTTAAAGTTCATAAACTTGAACTATGCTATAATATGGGAACGAAGGTCCGCTCTTGACTAAGATAGAGTTGTACCTTTAGATCTGCTTTCGTTGCGACCGCCCTTATAGTGTGGAATGCATTAGTGAGGTCAGCGAGGAGTTTATAAGTCTAACTCAGCGATTTCAAGTGAGGAAGCATCTGACAGACTCGAAAACCAACGCCCATCTTGCTTTTCAAAAGAATGTTATAGCCATGCAGCGAGGCTGTACAACTTGTCATTGCAATGCAGAAATTTCATGTGGCCAATTGACGGAACAGATTTTTTTTCTCTGGTTCAAAAGGTCGGCAATGTTCTGAGAGCTGTTATCTTGAACTCGAACAAAATAGTGACAGCTGTTTTAAGATCGCAACCTAGTTCACACCCGCGATAGTGCGTTCTGCTGCGAATTTCACCACATACAATTCATGGTCCCCTGTTAACTACGAGCGGTACCGCTTTGGTATGATATTTGAGCAATGGCCAAGATTGGTATCGATCTTTATTTCTCGGCTAACGTTTCGGAGTACAACTCCTTCTTCGGAGCCTGAAAGATCAAAAACTATGCGAAACTGTTCCTCTAAGCACTCAGTCACCTAACAGATACCGTTCAACACAAGGTAGTTACAAGATGAAGATAGAGAAGCTGACACAAGCTGACAAAACATTAAGTTATGCAATATCGCTGTTTTGAGATCCAAAAGTTTGCTTCACTCTGGTGTGTTGTTCAAAGGCCAAGCTTGAATCGTACCAGTAGTTTTGTCAACAATTATTATGGCTAAGAAATAATTTCGGTCGCTTTTGTGGTTCCTACAAACGCTGCAAACAATTTTTTGCCCAGTACTCGGTATCTTTGGAGAGAGCGCTTCAATGAGGATTGGAATGTAAAATCTATTTGAGTAGAATTCAATTTCCAACGAAAGAAATCCGCAAAGAAATGAGAAGCCTAGGTTTTCTCAATGTGCGCAAATAAGCGAAAATTTGGTTTTTTTGGTCAAAGACTTTGAACTGGCAGATCACAATTTTTATTGTTATTTGCCAAATAGGGAGAACTTGCCCATATTTAAATACCAAATTGCTGTTCTATATACCAATTACAGCAAGAACGAAGCCTAGAAAGTGGCAAAAGCGAGCTTTTGGAATTAATCCTTATTGGGGCATACCTGTCCCTCATTGATGATTGAAAATCGTGAACAGTTAATATGTGGTAGAACAAGCCTTAAGCTACTTCTCCATGAAAAATCATGGATAAAAACTAAGAAAGTTTGCATGAAGATTTTTATGCTAACATTTATTTTTTAGCCAACCTAATGAAGAATTCAAGTGTACACAATTTTGCAAACCTATGTAAAGGTGCTTTCTTTAACCTAGTTTTAATGTTCAAGTAAACATATTGAATGCTTCGATAAGATACTATTACAATCTACCGAAAGCAAATATGCTTCTGTAAAAGGTTTTATTTGCGCTGCGCAGAACATTTTACAGAATCAAGTAGCTATGGATAAATTTTCGATTTAACAATGGCTAAGGCGTAACTTTGGTAAAGTTAAGAAGGAGAGAGCGCAACCTAGTGCTCTCTTTTATTCCTTAGGACAGCCTTTTGAGTTGTTAGAGTGAACAGAAAACTATCTAAAACCACGATGAACATAAGAGCAAAGAAGGTACATCTACTAGCTTTTTGATAAACACTGAAGAGCGGATGCTCTGATCCATTTCAAGCTCACAAAAAGACGAAGGAGTTGATTTTTCGAAAACTAACGCGGTACAAGATGTTAGTCCTAGTCAAAACTAACACCACGATGAAAATAAAAACAACTTTTTGGTATACAAGACAGGTTTGCTAGCTCTAGTAAGGCTCAAAGAACTGGGAAAAATGACTCAAAGCTCGGAGATTGATAGAATACCGAACGTGAATCATGAAACATAGAGAAAGAAAGTTATCATAAATGAGGCGCTATGCTGATCAGCGTCGAGCTGTGTCGTTCTTGGCCTTTTTTGAACAAGCAGATTACAGATTTGAGATGGAAACATACCGAAATGGTCGCGTTGGAAATGCGAAAATATACAACAGCATCAACAGCTACTGTGACAGAATCCTTCGACAGAATCTAAACAACCTGAGTTGAGCAGATTATCGATCAATACCGATAAATATACTGAAAGTGTATCGTAAGAGCACTCACTTCTTGAGGTGGAACATCAAACGAAACCACCCTCAGATCTATTTTCTTATAAGAATCTATGCACGGCAATACGAAAAATATTCCTGAAATAGCAATATAATGACTGAGGTGAATCTACGTGTATCATTTTAATATACCTGGTCCTTTTGCACCTCCAGGCATAAGTCGACCAAGACGGAAAATAACAGCACGCTCATATTCTTGCACAACCTGAGAAGTATTAGTAGGAGCGGGCTGCGAAACTCTGCGCAAGATTTGCATCTATAGAGCGCGCACCAAGGCTATTCACCAAATCTGAACTTGGCAAACGTGGAGGTTCAAAGTATCAGACGGCTACAATTACAGTAAAACTCCGACAATGTTTATCTAGATACGTTATGTGCCAAAAACTGGAGAGGCGAAAATCTTTGAGTCGTCCGGAGCTGGCTGTGCCGGCGTAAAACTAGCGCAGTGCCAACGACTTCGGTTCAGTACAGGCTGCGTTCGAGTGTGCGCTGGCACGGCTCTAGCACGGCGTTGGCACATGTGGCTTTAGACGCGGCCTAATGAAACAAGTCCGTGCTTTAGATCTACGATCTATCTAGCTTTTCTCACTATGTTTCCATAAAAGCTGGTCTAAAAAGAAAGGGATCCGCAGAACAATGTTAGCTGTGAGTTGCCAAGAAAGAAATCTTATGATGATACAGAGCTGCAGTTGTTATGCCCTATAATAAACTTCAGCGCTGAGAAACAGAACAATAACTCAAAAAAGGCTTAAACCATACCTTTATGCAAAGACAAGCAGACAGCGGCAATGTGAAGGCAACTACGATGTAAGCGATAATGGTCAGAATCCAACTGCATACAGTAAACTCAACAACTTGGTTAGCTGGAAGAATTGTTTAAATCCGAAAGAATAAAAGCATCCATCTGGAAAGAATAAACAAGCGCGCAGCATTTACCTGCATGCTGTTTTTCCCATTTGTTATTTGCCCAGCTGTTATTCAGCATGATTGGCCTAGCTAATTTGCAAATAAGTCTTGCAGTGAAATTGAGAAGTTCAGCACCAGACAACGGTGCTCCAATGCATGTGTAAAACTCTTCGTTAGAGATGCTCTAATGAGCTGCGTATGACTAACACATGTGTGTTTGCATCGCGACACGTGCGATTCAAAACACATGGAGTCGTACGCATTAGCCCATGACATGTCGCTGCACTTTCCAGTCCTACTTTTGCGAAGAATTTGATGGCTTGAACAAAAACCGAGAAGTGAGGAAATCAGCCGAACAACAGCGATTTCAAGCGCTCAATATCTCATGGAATAGGTGCGCTAAGTTTTTCCCAGGCATATGTTGTGCGTTCACATAGACCAGGATTCTGGATTTGTGGGGTGGCTAATATGCTGTGCAACATGAGAAGATCGATAACCTCCTAGTAGGTGCGAAGGTTAGTACAGGGTGTTTTCGAGAATGTAACAAAAGTTTGACCTTTTGGTGCCTCCTTGTATGAAAAAACCTTTTAAGGCCCAGTAAGCAGCTTAACTTAGAGCTGGCTTCGAATTAAACTTACATTATGAAGGAATCACCGAGCACTCCTCATTGATGTAAGACTACGGTATAAACTTCAGCGCATATAGAGATTCTGAACTACGCTAGATTCACAAGTACAACATTTTTTCAAAAGTTGATCAGTCCGAACACGCCAAAGGATTTCGCGATACAAGGACCCTACACGGGCTGCTATAATCGTGCAGGATAGCGATCGTTTCTCGACGCACAGCGAAGCGCATGGCTGTTCGCATTGAACGAAAAAGGTTGTACTCGTGAGATTAGGGTAGATCAAAATCTCAAAATATCCGAAAGGTTGTGTACCACAACTTGAGCACGCTGATTCTGCTGCTCAATTCTTTACTAGTATGTAAAGCTTTTTAGAGGCGTGCACATATCTGAGGATCAATGTGAAAACAGCTGTTGCGGTTTACTTGGTACAACTCGTAAACGAAGCACTACACGGAAACGCAAAATTCTCTTTAGAACTAGCGACAATGATTAACCCAATGCAATAGTTTTCACATGCGATTTGCTCTCTGAGGCAAAGTAGGGCCCTCAATGGCTTGAAACTCTCTAAGTTCCTACCGTGATTGCAGAGTAAAAAAGAGCGATGTGATGCGTTCCTAATCGTATTTAAGCTGAAGCCAGCTTTACAATAATGTTTCTGAGGATAGCGAAAGCTTTTCATAAAAGGAAGTAATTAAAGATCAGAACTTTCGATATATTTTTGGGTCACCTTGTAATCCTTCTGCAATGGCAATATATATACGCATATATACGAATGCGTAAAAAATTGAAAAGGGTTGAAAAGCCGACAACAACGCGCAGAAACGGGCTTAAAATGCCTTTTTTCAGACACTGCGCCCTATTGCCATTTCCTAAGCGCAAGTGTTACCGGCCGAGAGAGCACTATACCAATATGACCCAACCAGACAATGCACTTTTCATGGTATACAACTCTTAACATCCCTCCCCCCCCCCCCCTTCACGTCCCCAGTTTGCCCAAACTGTTTTTGGAGGCTCTCCTAAGCGCATATCATCTGCTCCGAAACTGAGTAGGCAGCAGCAGAGCACCCTAGTGATTGACTCGCCCGGCACTGCTAATTGGGCCGCTAGTTGCGTAGCACATTTGTCACTGAGTCGTAACAAACAGGATGTACTCTTCTAGAGAGCAGCGCAAAACTCCTGATGAGCAAAACGAAGATCGCTTCAGCGATGCGTCTTCAAAACTTATACTAGCATGATCGAGCCGACCCACTAATTCCTCTTTTCAAAGTATGTATGAAGATTTCACTTCTTCTGTTTTTCTGCTATATAGCAACTTGAGCAGGCTAGCTGACATACAATCTATATTCGTCCTCACCCCGCTAGGCACCTGGTGGCTGAATCCAAATTTCAACTGGAGCAGGCCGATAGCGGTAGAGCACGGCACCTCAGGCCTCAGTTGAAACTTACGCATGTTTCTTTCCCATTTCTTTTTCGCGGTTGCTTGCTAATTTATTATGACAAGTCTTAATCTAACGCTCTTGTCCTTGCTGAGCATTGCTCCCTATTTACGCCGGTATTTGTTTACGTAAGCTTCTAAAAACTATGCAAACAGCAAATTTGCGGCACAAAATCAAAAAAGAAACATGCGTAAAATTGGATTGAGGGTTCAGGTGCCTGCTCTGCCGCGACTGGATTGCTCCATTTCAACTTCGAATTTGTGCATTAGGTGTCCAGTGAGATGAGGACGACTATAGTAGATTTGACGATTATAGTGACTCTGAGGTGCAGAAAATATTAGGTTGGTCCGAAAGTTCTTGCGCATCACTTTCAAAAAATCATAACTTCCTTGTCACTCGATGGATTTCGTTGGGATTACATGTATTTGAAAGAGAAATCCATGCTCTTTACAGCAGTATTTCCGTCATGAATTACTCTGGAAAACTTCAAGATTTAGAAGCAGTTGAATAAAATCAGTCAAGATTGGCATTTTTCGAGCTGGGTCACGAAAAATTCTGAAAGTATTTTTATTTGATAGAGAAAATTATGCTCATTACAATGGTTTCTTTCCCACGAGTTAAAACGAAAAAGATCGAGAGTTATAAGCAAATAAAGAGAATTACTTCAGTTTTGCAATTTTTGAGCATGCTCAAAAAAGCCTTAAAACGTCACAGAAAAGGCGGGAAAGTCATGAATATGGGTTTTGTGACATTCTCTTTCTAGATGAGCGAAAATCGTGCCAATCGGGAGCAATTTTGTTTTTCGTGTTTTTTTCGGATTTTCGTGCCTGCGTTTTTCACGAAAATCAAAATTGCTCCCGATTGGCACGATTTTCGCTCATCTAGAAAGAGAATGTCACAAAACCCATATTCATGACTTTCCCGCCTTTTCTGTGACGTTTTAAGGCTTTTTTGAGCATGCTCAAAAATTGCAAAACTGAAGTAATTCTCTTTATTTGCTTATAACTCTCGATCTTTTTCGTTTTAACTCGTGGGAAAGAAACCATTGTAATGAGCATAATTTTCTCTATCAAATAAAAATACTTTCAGAATTTTTCGTGACCCAGCTCGAAAAATGCCAATCTTGACTGATTTTATTCAACTGCTTCTAACTCTTGAAGTTTTCCAGAGTAATTCATGCCGGAAATACTGCTGTAAAGAGCATGGATTCCTCTTTCAAATACATGTAATCCCAACGAAATCCATCGAGCGACAAGGAAGTTATGATTTTTTGGAAATGATGCGCAAGAACTTTCGGACCAACCTAATACTTGTAACATGGGCAGCATCTGAGCTCAAGATTTGAGATTGTCTCAAGTTCATTTTCTACGCCTAAACGTTGTTTCAGTCACAGAAGCACTCACAAGCCTGGTCTACTCTACTGCGAGTGTATGAGTACTGTGTGATATAATGCAGTAATAGATAACAATTAAGGACAAGCCAGAATGTATGAACGCAACTAAGTATGCCCTTTTAAGAAACATTTTGGTCACTTTTTAGCTTAAAAAACCGTTGTAAAATGTTGCCAATAAATTTAGAAAATTCTGCTGACAACAAGCAATTCAGAAAATAGAGGCTACCACTAATTATCTAAGAATTACTCTTTACATATAAAGACCAAAAAAGTGGCATGTTTCTTACAGTGACAAGCAAAACTTTTTTTTCAAGCAAAACTTCGCTTCACAAAATTGGATTATCGAGAACTGCGCATCAGAAAAGGATAGGGGACCAAGACAATGAGAAAATAGAAATAAAAACGATCAGTTTGGATGACAAATTAGTGGATTGCGTCTAATACGTGTTGCACAACAATTAGCCACAACTTTTACAGTAGCTGAGACCATTCGGTGTTCGAAATAAGCTCTGATATTTGATATTAAGCCCATCACTCTTCAAGTAAAAGGTCTAAATCAAAGTAAAACATACTATCGACTATACGTGATGGCGGAGCTCTTCCAGATGTTGTTTTCCGCTGGAAAAAATCTTCCATCTCCATCAAAGCAACATTCGGCGTAAGGACATGATCGCTAAAAAGCACACATAATTCAGAAAAATGCGATATCATCGCGATGAAGCGGTAAAAACAGTTCAATATATATCTATTATAATATAGACCTTGTAAGCGTGAGTATGCACTTCGATACCACAAAAGCGGCTCGAATTTTGTCGCCAGTATAAAGCTGCGTGACCTCAGAACTAGGGCCTTACTATTTAGAAGAGTGTAGAGCCTTTGACTATCCGATTACTTTGGAAAATTCGGAATTTTTTTTTGAACAGTCGAATAATCGGATATGTTCGAAAATCAAAAATATCGAATTTCGAATATTTTCAAAAACAAAAAATGTCGAAAATCCGAATATCGAATATTTTCCAAAATTAAATGTTGAATAATCAAATATTGAGTACTTTCGAAATACAAAAATGTCGAGTAATCGAATATCGAATATGTTCGAAGTAGCATTTTCGAATAATTGAATATATTCGAAAAAAAGATTTCGAATAAACGATACTTTGTATCGACTACGTCGAATATTTAAACAAATATTAAGTCGAATTAGCACAATGAAGAGCTCTATGTGGTATGCAACTTAAGGACAAACGATACTTGCTGATTTAGCAACCAAAATGTTATGCATGTTACTGAACTGAGAAAGATCTAGTGTTGCTCGGTCTACATCCAAACACTATGGAAGCCACCAATCTTTTTTTTCCTCGAGTTTTCCCGCTAATGCAGGGTCCGCGTTTTCTTGGGTCTGAATTGACCCGCGTGGTGCGACCGGGTGCCACTCCTGCTCATGGAAGTCACCAATCTAACCCACTCTAAACATCAATTTCCCGTCACCACCGTTGAGAACGCAAATCAGTAAAAGCAAATGCTCAATTCATGCCTACATTAACACCTATTTTCAAACAAAGTTTGCAAAAATCGTCAAAAGCAGTAAGCGCCATTGTCGGTGTGATAGTGCTAGCCTATCCCTTTACAACCGCAGTTTCCCCTCAGCATGCTCGCTTGAACTTGTACGCAAACTCTAGCTTCCAACTTCCAACTAAACATGTTGCCTCTTTTCTGAGCATGTATTGTGCTCAGAGACCCTTTCAACATCTTGCAAAGGAGCTTCCCAAGATATGAAATACAGATTAAGGAAGCCAAGACTAGGTAGAGGAATGGAGGCCGCCAGTTTGACCCGCCTTTCGCGGCAGACTGGTCCTGTTGCAGTGTTGTTGCATGTCGTTCCAGGACCAGTGTCCGCGGA